AGCAATGGTGATTAACAATGAAGCAAAACTTCTTGGAAAGCAATAAGAAATAAAACCAGGAGGAACAGTGGCTTACCAAAAAGAAGGAAGCCAGAATGAGAATTGCCGAAGTCTGACGACAATGACAGAATGATGTAAGCTTCACCGGAGGAGAGGAACGAAGACAGTTGCAGAAGCTTGAAAGCTTGGAACAATGACGGATTTAAGCAAAAGAGCTAGAAAGAGAAAAAGCCAGAGGATTGAATGAAAAAAGAGAAAAATAGTCAAGAAGACGACAAAGTTCAAGAATAAAGCCAAGTGCACAGGCACTAAGTAAGTATGTGAAGAGCAAGAAAGTAATGACCCAGACACGATGCTAGCAACAGAAAGCGGATATGACAAGAACAGTGCCAGGCATTCAAATAATTCAAAACTTGAAAACAGACGAAAATAGAAGGCAACAGATGGAAATAAACAGATTCAGAAGAGTTATGGAAGATTGAGCTTAATAAAAGAGTTTATGAACCTACCAAGAGAAATGAACGCCGATATGAAGATCGCCGGAGTCAAATAGATGACTGGAAGTCGGGAACCCACAGAAGATGTGAATGGAGCAGTTGCAAAGCTCTTGGAGTTTTTGAATTAACGGAACCAGAACCTCGGCTAGGAGGTGCGATCTCAAGCCGCTTGGAAAGCTTGAAACTTGATACTTGACACAAGTGGACAGTAAAGTCCAGGGAACTCTGAGGTCGACGAGTTTGATCTCGGACAGAGGGGCACAGATGAACGAACAATGTAGGTTCCATCACCTCAGAATACCGAGGTAATAGAACCTAGGGGCAGTTGTGGGGATATATTTTCTGAGCACCAACATGTGGCCAAGGTGACGTTGATGTGTCAGTCGAGGTGCCACGTGTCCTGGTCGTTATGCCGAGGTAATCTCGGTTAAGCCAAGGTTATCTCCGAAGATATTGGAAACCGAGATAAGTGGATAAGGGACAAGAGTCCTAGATTGGGAGAAGACTTCAGTTTGGGTAAAGATAAGACTCTTAGAGAGTTTATCCTATTCCCACTAGAAGTCCCAGATTAGCAGTAATCCTAAGTCCATTAGGGCCAGGCTCCTATTGGGACTAGGATTGTATTGGCTATAAAAGAGAGGCACCTCCATGGGTCTAAGGTATGTTTTTTAGGCTCAAGCTTGTGAGTTGAATAATTGATTATCTTTGAGAGATATACTGACTTGATCGTCGGAGTGCCCCGGGTGGACGAACCACCGCGGGATTCTTATATTTATGTTGCAGGTCAGTCAGGTGCCATCTATTCTGTCAGTACTCTCCAGCTGATTACTAGGCAGACAATGTGATCAGAAAATCACCCACACATGTAGGATAGTATTTTGAAAATCCAAGAAGTTTATGACAATGAGGACATTATACATACAGAGATCTAGAGACTATTCAAAGGTAAATTGTTATTGCAGTTCTTTATGGGCATATCATTTATTGCTTGAATTTATCGTGTCACGCGTACTAACTAGGTTCTTCACAATACTTTACAGTAGTGGTTTCTTCTTTCGAATGAGGTGCCCAAATTGCTTAAACGAGTCCTCGAAGAAGTGTTCCCCAACTTTTTCCTTTTTTCTTAAGCCTTGGAGCTAAAGAGAAGATCGGTTGACTCCTGACAATTACTTGAACATTTTATTTTCATATTGTTGAATGAAGCATTATATTATAATTATTTTTTTGATCCGAGCACTAGGGCAAGTTTTAGTGTATAATTGTTGCAAGAGAAACAGATTTAACATTTATTATTGTTTTAGGCACTATTTGGCATAAACTAAATAAGTGCACTTATTTAGATAAGTATACTTATTTGGGTCACATTATTTCTTTATTTTTTTACACATTTTTTTGTGAAAAATAAAAAATTATACTTATTTAGATCATCTCAAACAACCTCTTAATTTCTTAAGTTTGTTAGACATTTACCGTGTTTTCAAGAAAATGCCAGTAAGCATGGTTTGTAAATTTGTGTATCAATTTCACCAAAGATGGTATTGCAGTTTTTTATTTTTATTATTATTTCCATTTTTTTTTCTTGTTTTTAAACAGAAAGGCAATAATTGCATAAATCTATTTGTGATGAAAAATTATCGTTGCGACTATCTATAATATGATAAGATTTTTTTCATTATTATAATTAATGAATGGTAAAATTGTTTATAAAATGATATGTGAATTAAAATTTAAAAAAAATATTATAAATTATATTAAATATGTAAGGTTGTGTGTGTGTGTGTGTGTTTTTTTTTCCCAAACTTAAACGGAGATTAGTATAATTTACTTTTTTATTTGGACAAAGTATTGAGACATGTTGAGGCATCTAGCTAGTAAAATTTGTCTTTTTAGTTGGATAAAATCAGGGATTTTAATTTTTTTTTATTCAAAATTAAATATACAAATAAATTTTATTCTTAAAATGTACATTAACACTTAATATTAAAATTTTTACTTGAATTAAGAAAAAAAACTAAAATTAATTTAGATAATATTCTAAGTCAAGTAAAAATTTAAAAGCGGCAAATTCAATTTGAAATTGTAAATCATTTCAATTAACCTAATTTAAAACTCGCTTTATAAACAAATATAAATAGGTTGAACGTAGTATCGATTTAAATGGATACCACTTCATCGGCCACCACCTTCATCTCACTTCACCACTTTCATTGTTGTCACTCTATTATTTTTGTCACTAACTTCATTATTACCTAAATCACTTTTTTACTATTATCATCACTTCTTGGCAGTCACTTCATTATTATTACTATCATCGTTACCATCTCTCCACCCTTGCAACCACATATTCATTTATTCAACTTATATTCAATTCAATCATTTCTATTAAAAATGTACGGTTAATAATCTCACTTTTATAATTTCACAAAACATTTGTGAGCAGATTATATATTTTATTTTGAATAAAAAAAAAATTACAAGGTGAAGGAGCTCTAAAATCAGGTGCCACTTCAAAATATAGAATTTTTTTTTTTTATCAATATTATATTTATATATATTTGCAACTGGAGCATTAAAGACGGGTAGAATTGTTAATGTGAACACGATTCTTATCTCTAAATCCACCTGTAAATCAATCCGGCATGACATCTGAGTAGGCGATGGTCTGGACGAGAAATTATTCGGTGTTTTTCGAGAAATTTATTACACCATTTATAACTTAACACTTGTAATATTATAATTCAAAAAACCCAACAAAATACCGCAGTCTCGCCATTTTAGCACCTCGTTGAGCTGCCCTAGTACCACCAAATAATTTTTCAGTTTGCACAGCGCCAGCCGAACTCTTTTTAAAAAATTTTATTTTCTTATTTTTCACATTTTTTTTATTTTTACTGAATTTTTTAAATTTTGAACAATTTTTTTAATTTTTAAACGGGAACTTTTTTGATAAATCTATTTTCTAAGAGTTTTATTCCATCCAACCCATATTCTTTTTGACTATTCCATTGGACAGGCCCGGACCCAAACCAGAGCCACCTCGGGCCGCCCACGGGCTTTGGACCGCCCATGGGACGCGAGTCAATTTTACACTCTTATCAATGTGAATGTTAACATGTCAATGTGAATATTCACATTGTCAACAGGCCGGGCCAGGCCCGCCTCAGGCCGCCCACGGGCCGTGGGCGTGTTTCGGGCAGCCACGAGGCACAGGCTAATGTTACACTCTTATGAATGTGAATGTTAATATGTCAATGTGAATATTCACGTTGTCAACGGGCCGGGCCCGCGTCAGCCCGGGGCCGGGCTTCGGGCTGCCCACAGGTCACCGGCTAATTTTATACTCTTATCAATATTAATGTTAATATGTCAATGTGAATATTCACATTGTCAACGAGCCGGTCACATTGTCAACGGGCCGGGCCGAGCCTGCCCCGGGCCGCGAGCCAATTTTATAGTCTTATCAATGTGAATGTTAACATGTCAATTTTAATATTCACATTGTCAACGGGCCGGGCCGAGCCTGCCCCGGGCCGCGGGCCATTTTTATACTCTTATCAATGTGAATGTTAACATCTCAATGTGAATATTTGCATTATCAACAGGTCGGGCCGGGCCCGCCCAGGGCAGCCCACGAGTCGCAAGCGAGTTTCGGGCCGCTCACAGGCCGCGGGCTAATTTTATACTCTTATCAATGTGAATGTTAACATGTCAATGTGAATATTTGCATTATCAACGGGTCGGGCCGGGCCCGCCCAAGGCAGTCCACGAGCCGCAGGCGAGTTTCGGGCCGGCCACAGGTCGCGGGCTAATTTTACACTCCTATCAATGTGAATGTTAACATGTCAATGTGAATATTCACATTGTCAACGAGCCGGACTGGGCCCGGGCCCGGGCTTCGGGCTGCCACGGGTCATGGGTCAATTTTACACTCTTGTCAATGTTAATGTTAATGTTAATATGTTAATATGAATATTCATATTGTGAACGGGCCGGCCCAGGCCCGCCCCGGGCAACGGGCTGGTTTCGGGCCGCCCACGGGCCGCATGCCAATTTTACACTCCTATCAATGTGAATGTTAACTTGTCAATATGAACATTCATATTATCAACGAGCCGGGTCGGGCCTATTTTTTTGGCTTGTGAGCCGGCTCGGCCCGACTCGAATTTTTCCCAACATCCACAAGGATCGACATGAGCCGGACCCTTACACATTGACGATATAAACATTTATATTGACGGTGTGAACATTCACATTAAGGGTATTTTGATAATTATGTCACCCATAGGACTTATTGAAACATAAGAAAATAATGTGAACTAAATGGAACATAAGTAGATAAAAAAAGTATTTTGGTCTTCTTATCTCAAATTGGACCTAATGGAATAGTAAAAAAGAATATGGGTTGGATGGAATAAAGCTCTTAGAATATGAATTTATCAAAAAAGCTCCCAAAAAAAAACTAGATGTCCCAAAAAAATGAAAACAATAAAAAATGTCAATCTCTTTCTCTTGCAACAATAATACATTAAATCTTAACCTTATGCTCAGTCAAAAAATAATTTTGATACAATGCTTCATTCAACAGTACGAAATAAAATGTTCCAATAACTGTCAAGTCAACCAATCTTCTCTTTAGCTCCTAGTCTTAAGAAAAAAAAGGAAAGAACATTGGGGAAAACGAGATTATAAATTACGAGACAAAGTTCAGGGCAAAAAGAATCTTGAAGCACCAGCTTTTCCTTTCTTTATTTGGATCTTCATGTAGAATTCAAGCTTTTTCCGTCCAATATATACCTGTTTAAGCAATTTGGGCATCTCATTCGGTACAAGAAACAACAACTGTAAAGAGTTGTGAAGTTCCTAGTTGTCATGTCAACAATAAAATCAAGCAATCACGATATACCCATAGGGAACCACAATAACAACGAACCAACTAACAAAAATTACCTTTGAATAGTCTCCGGATCTCCATATGCGCTTATAGAAAAAACACAATAGTGCAAACAAACGTCCTCGTCAGAAACTCCTTGGATTTTCAAGATATGATCCTACATATGATAAATAAAATGGTAATAAGTCCACCAAACCCACCTGTTTTACCTAAAAGTTTACCAGAAATCCCACTTGGCAGCCATCTCAGTGCAGGCCACTATTATTAAAAGCAAAATAAAAAATAAATAAAAAACAAACACTATTTATATGTCGAATAATTAGGTTACCGATCTCTATGGATATGGATAGACGAGAAGAGAAAAGTATGCCAACTGCTTGCACTGATGTCACCATAGTCATAGCTTGAGTGAGATTATCGTACTGGTCCTGTGGAGGATGCAGACTTTCTTTTCTCTAAACATACCAAAAAAGTGAGAGCAGAAAAATTTTCATGTTATGTGTAGTTTTGACAAGAAAAGGAAACACGTTGAATGTTTGGGAGAAATCCAACTCAGTGATGGTTTTGAGAAAAAGAAAAAAAAAAAATTCAAATCTGAACTAGAAAAGCTCTATCTTGACTATTTTCTACCAACAAAGCATTCTAAATACTCAAATATTTAAGTTTTAGGTTTCATACAAAATTTTGAAATTTACATCCCAAAATCTAATGCGGGTAATAAATTCAGTGTTTGGGTCAATATTTTCCTCCAAAACTCACTCCGGCTCCACAAAGGCGATGATTTGTAGTTACTGGTGACATGGACCAAAAACTAAGATCGGCCGGCAACCTACTCAGTTTGGTTTTCTTTCCCATCTCACTGTATCAAAATATTTGTTTTTGGTCCCAACTTCAGCTGGCAGCCAAGTGAGATTTTTGGTAAACTTTTGGGTTAAATGGGCAGGTTTGGTAGACTTGATGATAAAATGGATGTTAACTCATACCCTCAAAAGTGTGAATGCATATATATATATATATATGGGTTGCAAAGTTAACAGCTTCCTAAAACAAGCATATAAGCTTAACTTGAAAGAATCATCAATCCCTAGAAGAAAAAACGCAATGGTCCATAAAATGCCACTCGAAGTACTAATATAATACAGACAAATTTCTGGTAAAACATGCAATAGATTTCAAAAAAGTTCGATGCAATGATGCATGCGCAATGACACTTGTCATTTAGATCTAATATATCTTGATTCCATGCCCTCACCTGCAATGAATAATCCACAAAGGCGATGATTTGTAGTTACTGGTGACATGGACCAAAAACTAAGATCGGCCGGCAACCTACTCAGTTTGGTTTTCTTTCCCATCTCACTGTATCAAAATATTTGTTTTTGGTCCCAACTTCAGCTGGCAGCCAAGTGAGATTTTTGGTAAACTTTTGGGTTAAATGGGCAGGTTTGGTAGACTTGATGATAAAATGGATGTTAACTCATACCCTCAAAAGTGTGAATGCATATATATATATATATATGGGTTGCAAAGTTAACAGCTTCCTAAAACAAGCATATAAGCTTAACTTGAAAGAATCATCAATCCCTAGAAGAAAAAACGCAATGGTCCATAAAATGCCACTCGAAGTACTAATATAATACAGACAAATTTCTGGTAAAACATGCAATAGATTTCAAAAAAGTTCGATGCAATGATGCCTGCGCAATGACACTTGTCATTTAGATCTAATATAACTTGATTCCGTGCCCTCACCTGCAATGAATAATGGCCTGACTAGCGGCAGATCTTTGCATTAGCACAAGCAAGGCACATCTTCAGATTATTATTACCTACCAAAAAAAGGGCATAACATCAGATGTTATCACGCTAAAATTATGCAATAAGAAATAAATGAATATGGCGATAGAACTATATTAGTCGAGAACTAGAGTCCATATTGCTATGCACCAAATAGATAACATCGGTGATGAATTAAATGGAGGGATCCCATACATTCATCAACAGCTAATGTCAAGATAACTACATAATAATGGAAGCACCTTCATGGGAGTGCCTTAAAGCATGGGTCATAGCTAGTATCACTACATTAATTGTAGGTATGTAGCACAAGAGTAGGACTAATATATGTTTACTCTCTCATTCCTTGGCGGTGTTTTAACTAGAAAAATGCAGTAATCCTTTAAGATAAGTGTGGTATTTTCATTTAACCACTGGTTCATTAGTTAAAACTGAATCTACTAATCTTGAGGTCATGGAAGGTTAGGTTCATACCCAATTTACCTCCTCCTTCCAGACCCCCTTCAAATGGGACTAATGTTGGGTCTAGTTCTTTTTTTTTATATATAATTATTTATCATATTCCATGTCCCATATATGTAACTTGGTGCATTGTTGTGGAGAAATTAATAAGACCTTTTATTTTTTGGGAAAATAACATTTAATGTACATTATTGATTGAAAAGGTTATTTAATGCAATTAAAATTCGAGAAATCTAATAAAAACCCCTTTTACCAAACTTAAAAGAGAAATTGACATAAATTTTGTTTCTTATGGTGATACATATCCTAAGTGAGTTGGCTGAAAGACATCTAGTCTAGAGGGGTTTTAAAATAAGAATAGACAGATAGGATTCATTTAAGATCCAATACAAATCTATTCTAATTTGATTCCTTTGAATTTCTTAATTTACTATATTCACACAAATTTTGCTCTTTCCTATGTTGCTTTCCAAGGCCAATCTAAATGATTTGTACGGTACAAAGGCCTATCAATCAAGTAAGCTCGAAACTCTTTTGATTCCATAATATGTATATATATATATATATAAAGCCCTTTTTATCCCAAAATAAAATAGGAATGAGACTCTAGTTACTTGTTTCAGCAAAAACAAAATGTAATAATCTTATAGAATTTCTAGAGTCATATAAGTTAAGAATCATTCACTGAGCATCCTTCCTTTCATAGAAATTGTGGGCAATAGATTCTCCTTGGGGGGTTGGTAGGTTTCAGGCATGGATGAAATTCATGATATTCCCATTCTTGGAATAATTTTGGTGTAGAAGCAAAAGATTAATCCGTAATCGATCACTTTGGAAAATGTTTTTGTGCAATGGGAAGCGATCGACAAGCGATCAATCCGTTTATAACACGATCAATCGCACTTGAAGAGCGATTGATTGCCTGTCCAGTTTTTGCAAAACCTCCCCAGAATTGGTTTTAAATGTTGAACATGTATATAACGACCTCCTTGGCTCATTTTTCAGTATTCCAACCATTGTTTTACATAGATGATATTATGAAAACTCTAGAAAAATTCTAAGCGATTATTTTGATCATTGTGAGAGCATTTTCACGAGTTGATTTTCAAAAATCCACAAGGTTGTTGCACATCTTTGCATTGCCATGTTCTACACCTAAGCCCGATTGAGTAATCAAAGCCATTCAAGAACAAAAATCGATGCGTGCTTCTTTATGGTACTTGAAGATCAAGAAGGATGACTAGGTCCGCCCACGCTTGTGGAGCTTCCACAAGTCAACAGTTTGAGCAGTTGCAAGTCCTTTTGTTTGAGTATTGTATTTTTGGATCTTCTTAGTAGATTTCTTTTGGGTGTTTGAGACCGTAGTTTTTTCGCCTTTTGAGTTTTCCACGTTAAATCATTGTGCTTATTTGTGTGCTTGCTTGTTAGTGTGGTAGTTCAGTTAAAGGTTAAATTCCAGTAAATAATCCTAATTTTTAATTAATTAGCCTCTATTCACCTCCCTCTCTCTCTCTCTCTCTCTGTCTCTCTCTAGGTACATTCTATTCAAGACTCCAATATTTTATTTTAACTCAAAAGTTTCAAACATTTTTTTAGCTGGTTTTCCAACAACTTTGTAATACAAAATTAATAATATAATAATAAAAAACTATTTATTAGAAAAGGAACTAAAAAATATTAATATCATATCAATCCAAAAAAATTTCTATTAAAATTTTTACTATGTGAATTCTCCAAACCATAAATCACAAATATGAAACTTCTAAGGCCATCTCCAATCCTTTATCAAATGTTTCATCAAATTTAAATTTGATGAAAAATCGGTGAAAATGATACTCTAACCGTTTCATTAGATTGATATCAAATGAAGGGAGCACTATATTTTTTATCAAATCAAAGGAGTTTTTTATCCTTTCATCAAATTTTTCAGGCGGCCGGTGGACGACTAGATTTTAGGATAAATTAGGAATTTTGTAAAAAGATTTGATGAAAATTTACTCTTCACCGAATGACCAGCAAGACGATCAACCGAATTGATGAAAACTTACTCTTTACCGTTGGAGTGTATTCATCAAATTTTTATTCAAATTTGATGAAAAAAATTGATGAAACGTTGAAAATGCTCTAACACATGTGCCTCAATCACAATTTCTAAAACTCTTACTCAAAATGTTGAAAAAACTATAAATCACACAAAATGTGATCCAAACACAATAAATTTGAGGCTTTAAAAAGAAAATAGAAATATTTTGTTAATATGTATTTGTTTCTTGTTAATGTATTGGGCATGTGTCCATTCTTTTTACCCTTTTTGCAAAGGTGACATTATGTCATTTTGTAGTAAAATTGTATTGTGTGCGAGTATATAATATCAAAACAATAGTAGTATATTTGATGTGAAGTAAATTAGAAGGCTTACCAATAGGAACTTCAAATGGCAAGGTAAATCGTGAAACACATGTCTACAAAATCTAATTAAGACCCATCTAACTAGTAAATACGTTGGTCTCCCCTTTTATCATGTATTAATTATGTTTAAAAGGGCAACTTTGAGAGCTACTTATATATAAATGGTAAAACCTGTCTGTGAATTATTGTTGGAATTCAATTGAAACCATCACCAAAAAAAAAAACTCTCTTGATCGCCATCAAAAACTAGTAACGAACCCTAATATTGTCTATTTTCTTGTACAAACTTACCTTTTCTTCATGACAGACTGTCTATTTTCTTGTACAAACTTACCTTTTCTTCATGACAGACGGTGTCTCAGGTAATAAGACAAAGGAAGTTCATAGCTGTAAAAACAGTTTATAGACATTACAGTTTATTAATACCATGAAAGAGAAACCAAAAACAAGATATATAGGAAACCTTAACCACCATCTGAAAGGGTTGAGAACGTTGTCGGTATATGGCATTACCACGCGCCAAGAAACAACTTCTACAATGCCGACTGGATTATTATGTGACAATACAATATCACTCTGCAGCTCAAGTCATTGATTGCTTCATTCCCTCCTAGCTCGTCTAGGGAGCGGTGTCGGCCACGTCGGGAGCACAAATGGAATCACCACACGCCAAGAGAGGTCTTCAACACTGTCTACCGGCTGATGACAAGAAACTTCCAACCGTTTTGTTTTAATGTCATAAGCGACAATACAGGATCTCTCCTCACATCTTAAATACACGACATCCAAATTAAATGGATGATACAATAACGGAAGGAAATGAGCATGCAATAAATAGCTACGTAAGTAAGGATCATCTGACCAAATTTCATTACGCGTAGCTCGATGCACTAAATTCCACTCTCCCCTTTCATAATCTCTCATAATCCACATACTAAAACAGAAATATTCCGTGATATCCGGAGCTGCCTCAAAATACCTAAGCTTCCATTGGCACTCCTCGCACAAATGGTACGATCCATCATATTGATTTTCACTTTCAATGTCTCTATAATTGGGCAAATCGATCAGTCTACATCCCTCAACCTTGTAAGGATCAAAGGCTACAACTCGATTTCCATAAGCAAACCAATGCATTGCCCCATTAAAAACAAAAGGGCTGCCGCGTTTGAACAACTTAACACGTTGAGGGCAAGACAGGTTATAGTCACTCCATTCACCAGTCTCTGAATAAAGGGTCTGTAACTGGAGATCGTCAGACTCTGTAGAGTGCCATTCGATGCGAATCACCTTGTAGCTAGTGACTAAATTATCCTCATTAGCGAGAGGAACGAAGCCCTCACCCACATATGTGGGGCGGCGGCGAGTGATACTACGGTAATCGGGTCTGGGTAAAGTAACCCATTCTTTGGTTACAGGGTCACCTATATAGTAAGTTAAAGGAGCCAACATGCAACACAAAAGCAAGCCTTTGCTCACTGCCAAGACCTTAAATTGGTGACCGAAACTGTGTTCTCGAGTATTAGACAGATACAAAACAGAGAAATTCTCAGGTGGGCACGCATGAGATTCATGATTAAGGCGATCCACAATTTCCCAAAAATACGATACATATACGTACCGATACATGATTCGGAAATTGAGTTTCCGAGACGCATACAATCGAGAAAAAAAGTGGCTGGAAATCATAGATTTCCACTCCGATGACACACATTTGAAACTAAAAAGCGATTTGAGGGGCAATCTTACAAGGATTTCTTGGAGAAGCCCTTCGGGAAGAGACGACAAATCGAATACAACAACTTGCTGATCATCAGATTGGGGATTGCTGCTACTTACCTCAGTCTGAGAAGGAAGGCTATTATTGCTTGTGAGGCAGAGTGTGAGCTGACGACAATCGCCGCCACCATTTCCGTCGTCTCCGCCGCCGTCGGAATTGGTTGAATGGGTGCTTCCGCCGCTGTGCATGGCCGTGATTTGAGAGCAGAGAGTGAACTACTCTTTGGAAACCTAGCGGTTTTGGGTTGAGCGAAAATGGTAGTGTGTTTGCTTTGAGTTTTTTCAATTAAGGCCTTGTTTGGTTTGCGTTTTTTAAAAAAATTTTGAGAAAATTTTTTTAGAAATAAGTTTTTAAAAGTAATTAAATTAAACAAATTTTTTTAAAATTTTTTTCTAAAACTTGTTTGGTTTATAAATTTTCCAAACAAATCTCTCTCTTATACACATCAAATTAATCATTTTTTCAAAACTCTCTTTCAAAATAATTTTTCAAAATATCTTTTGAAAAAAAATCAAACCAAACAAATTTTCGTACTTTTAAAAATTTAGTTTTTTGATTTTTGTATTTTTTTTTATTTTTAGTAAATATTTTTTAAATTTTAAACATTTTTTTTTACTTTTTAGATTCACTAGATGTTTCTAAAAAGTAAAAAAATTATGTAAAAAATAAATTTAAAATATCAATAAATACACAATAATTCACAAATTGTACTGAATTTTAATGTGAATGTTAACATGTTAATGTGAATATTCACATTGTCAACGGGCCGAGCCAGGCCGAATCGGGCCCGCTCTGGGCTGCTGTCTAGTTTTATACTCTTATCAATGTGAATGTTAATATGTCAATGTGAATATTCAAGGGATTTTTATTGATAAGTCCAATTTAGAAGTGTTTTAACCCAAGAAGTCCATGAAGGAATTTTTTAACCCATTTAGTCCCATGTATGTATAGTTTTATTCCATAAAGTCCATTTTCTTGATTTACACTATTTTCTTGGACACTTATGCCCTTATATTTAATTTTGATACCCTTATAAATATTTTTTCAACGATTAGCAATTTAATGATGTGAACATTTATATTTTAAAATTCACATTGGTAGGAATGTAAAATTGGCCCATGGGCGGCCCGAAACCTGCCCGTGAGCCGGGGTGGGCCCGGTCCGTTGACAATGTGAATATTCACATTGACATGTTAACATTCACATTGATAGGAGTGTAAAATTAACCCGCGCCTCGTGGCTGCCCGAAACCCACCTACGGCCCATGGGCGGCCCGAGGCGGGCCCGGCCCGGCCTGTTGATAATGTGAATATTTGCATTGACATGTTAACATTCACATTGATAAGAGTATAAAATTGGCCAGCAGCCTAGGATGGCCCCGACTCGGCCCGGCTCGTTGATAATGTGAATATTCACATTGACATGTTAACATTCACATTAATAGAAGTGTAAAATTGGCCCCCGTCCCGTGGCGGCGCGAAACCCACCCAAGGTCCATGGGTGGCTAGGGCGCGGGCCCGGTCCGGCCCGTTGACAATGTGAATATTCACATTGACATGTTAACATTCACATTGATAAGAGTATAAAATTAGCCCGCGACCCATGGACGGCCAAAAGCTCGCCCGCGGCCTGGGGCGGGCCCGGCCCGGCCAGTTGATAATGTGAATATTCACATTGACATGTTAACATTCACATTGATAAGAGTGTAAAATTGGCCCGCAGCCCGTAAGCGGCCCGAAGCCCGACCGAAGCCCGAGGCGGGCTTGGCCCGACCCGTGACAATGTGAATATTCACATTGACATGTTAACATTCACATTGATAGGATTGTAAAATTAGCCTGCGCCCTGTAGCTGCGCCGAAACCCACCCACGGCCCGGCCTGTTGACAATGTGAATATTCACATTGACATGTTAACATTCACATTGATAAGAGTGTAAAATTGGCCCGTGATCCAAGGGCAGCCCGAAGCCTGACCTCGGGCCGGGACGGGCCCGGCCCGTTGGCAATGTGAATATTCACATTGACATGTTAACATTTACACTAATAGGAGTGTAAAATTGGCCCGCAGCCCGTGGGTGGCCCGAAGCCAGATTGCAAACCGAGGCAGGCTTGGCCCGACCCATGACAATGTGAATATTCACATTGACATGTTAACATTAACATTGATAGGAGTGTAAAATTTGTCCGCTGCCCGAAGCTCGCCCGCGGCCCGGGGTAGGCCTGGACCCAAACCCGGGCCGCCCATGGGACGCGAGTCAATTTTACACTCTTATCAATGTGAATGTTAACATGTCAATGTGAATATTCACATTGTCAACGGGAAGAAGCAGTTGATGAGGCAAGCCGGATTCGTTGTCTGGCTTTGGCTTGTCGGTGCAGGAACCCATATAATTTTCGGCCAACTGAAGTTGAAGGTTACTTTGCTGTTGATTTGAGTGACTATGAGCCTGGAGCGATGTACCCCATGAGCCAGATTAGTAAAGCGAGAGAGAGTTTTCGGCCTAAGGATACTCTTGCTTTTATAAAGCAATTGGCATTGATGCCTATAAGTGATGGGCGCAGTAGTCTTGATTTTATTATGAATAAGACTGTTGCTTTGGCTTATCGAAAAGCAGTGTTTGAGGAGTTCGATGAGACCTATGCTCAAGGTCGGCCACAGGCCGCGGGCTAATTTTACACTCCTATCAATGTGAATGTTAATATATCAATGTGAATATTCACATTGTCAACATGCCGGGCTGGGCTCGCCCCGGGCCGCCCACGGGCTTCGGGCCGCCTATAGGACGCGAGTCAATTTTACACTCTTATCAATGTGAATGTTAACATGTCAATGTGAATATTCACATTGGCAACAGGCCGGGCCGGGCCTGCCCCGGGCCGCCCACGGGCTAGTTTCGGGCAGCCATGGGGTGCGAGCTAATTTTATACTCTTATCAATGTGAATGTTAATATGTCAATGTGAATATTCACATTATCAACGGGTCGGACCGGGCCCACCCAGGGCAGCCCATGAGCCGCGGGCGGGTTTCGAGCTGGCCACAGGCCACGGGCTAATTTTACACTCCTATCAATGTGAATGTTAACATGTCAATGTGAATATTCACATTGTCAACGGGCCCCGGGCTTCGGGCTACTCACGGGTCACGGGCTAATTTTACACTCTTATCAATGTTAATGTTAATATGCCAATGTGAATATTCACATTATGAACGGGCCGGCCCAGGCCCGCCTCGGGCAGCGGGCTGGCTTCGGGTCGCCCACGGGTCGCGGGCCAATTTTACACTCCTATCAATGTGAATATTCACATTATCAACGGGCTGGGCCGGACCTATTTTTTTGGCCTGTGGGCCGGCCCGGCCCGACCCGAATTTTTCCGGGCACCCACGAGGATCAACATGGGTCGGGCCCCTACACATTGACGATATGAACATTCACATTGACGGTGTAAACATTCACATTAGGCGTATTTTGGTAATTATGTCACCCATAAGACTTATTGAAATATAAGAAAATAATGTGAACTAAATGGAACATAAGTAGATGAAAAGGGTATTTTGGTCTTCTTATCTCAAATTGGACTTAATGGAATAGTCAAAAAGAATATGGGTTGGATGAAATAAAGCTCTTAGAAAATGGATTTATCAAAAAAGCTCCCTTTTTAAAAATTAATATTTTAAAAATGTAATAATCGTACCAAAAAAAATATTCTCAAAAGAAATTAATATTTTAAATGTGAGCACGATTATTATCTCTAAGACTCTGACCATAAAAATATATAATAAAAAAATTAAAATAAAATATTTACATATTTACGTTACAAATCCACTTGTCAGTAAACCTAGCAAGACATCTGAGTAGGAATATACATAGGTTTCCACAGCTTTGACTGCCTATAAATACTGTTATTGATTGGTTCAGGATATCACGACAATGACGCTATACGTATTGTGATTGATAAAGAAATAAAATTTATAATTTTGTATTAAATGATTAAAAAATATGAAAACTATAGAGCTTTGCGATTAGCTGAGACATGGCTAGCAGGTGCCCCGCCACGAACCATAAATCACTTCCCTATTTGCTCCCAAATTGTGACCATGCAGAGCGGCGAAAGCAGCCCGAGAAGCAATCCAGATGGCAGTGATGACTGCGGCGATGGTCGTCAGATAACTGTGGTAAGTATCAAAAATCCCCAATTTGATACCAATACGTTTACTTATCGCATTTTTAGAAAATTGTCGATCGACTAAGTTCAGATTCTCATGATGTGTCCCTCATTTGAGAATTTCTTTATGTTGTTATATCTATTGCCCATGAACACCAAAACAGTGACTGGTATAAGATCTTGGCAGCGAGCAAAGGCTTGTTTTTGTGTTGTTTGTTGGCTCCTTTAACCTACTTTGTCTGTGACTGTCACGACCCAAACTCGTCCCTAAACGTTCGGCATCGTAGTCGGCCAGTAATCTGAGATTACCAAAGGCCTTCCCGTACAGATAAAAAATAAACGGGGCTAACGGAAGTAATATACAACGATAGCAATCGTCCAATGAGCTGTGCATCAATATGAACAAACATGTACATACATAAACGTTAATTTACCCAGATACATATACATATCTTATAACATCTTATGCAAAACACATACATAAAGGAACCAGGACCAACACTTGCTAACAGTCATCACGGCCTAGCCTTAACTCGGAGGCATCAAAACCCAATAAGCTTTAAAATGGTGACTCGGCTAAAGACCCCTCATAGGCTTGTCTTCCAGAACGCTAACTTATACATATACATAAAAACAGAGAGCTAAAACCCAGTGAATAACAAATGCATAAAGAAGTTCTAGATGAAGACATTAAAATCAATCAGTTACTGTAGCAAGTCCGTTCACATAGCAGTAGCATGTTCGTTAAATGCAAGCATAGCAGTTATAAGGGCCACGTGTACATATAGCGGTCTATAAGATCATAGTTGGTACAAACGATTATATAAACCAATATCTTATCTACATAAAGCCATGGTATTATTACCTCCAGGCGAGGGCCACGTGAACATATTCCAAGGTATTATTACCCCTGAATAAAGGTCACATGAACATATATCACGGTATTGTCACCCCTGGATAAGGGTCACGTGAATATATACCACGGTATCCCGGGTAAGGGCCATGTAAACGTAGATCGCAGT